GTATATATTGGAATCACAAAACGAAGCATCCACACCAGAATCAAAGAACATGAGAGACACTGCAGACTAAAGCAACCAGAAAAATCAGCAGTAGCTGAACATGCCCTAAAGCAAGCTGGACATGAAATTCTATTTCTAAGTACTGAAATACTGGACAACACCAGCAATCATTACGTTAGATTGCACAGGGAAGCCATTGAAATCTACAAACATAAGCAGAATTTTAACAAAAAAGAAGAAGTTTAAAAAGCAACAATGCTTGGCTCCCAGCACTGAAAAATACAGCCTGCAAAAGGCCAACAAACTCTACCCAGTCATGAGGATCGGTGATCACTACACACAAAAGACTAGCTAACGACACCCATCAATCAGAGTGACAGATAATCTCTCCTCCTTATCACAACAATACACCCACAAAACACACACACACACACACACTGATCACCATAATCACCCATCTTCTAAAAGGACAAAAGCTGATCCCACAGCTATAAATACTCAACTCCCAAACAAACTGCACCAGAGCACAGAGTTCTGACTCCTGTCCTCTGAAGATGCCGGCCACAGAGACTGGCAAAACGTTAGGAAGAACAACCTTCAGAACTCAGCCAAAGAGCCCAAAAAACCCACAACAACCATTATTGTTTGATGTTAATGAAGATTCAATAAAGAACCAACCAGTTGATATAGTTAATAAAAATATAATTAATGATACACCATTATTGTTTTTTTCATTTACAAGATGAGGAATTACTTAAATTTGCCAGTGAACCCAATGACAGGAGCTTTGTCTTCAACAATGGAGTGAAAAGTTTATTTTATTTTATTTACTTCTTTAACTTATATGCCGCCCACACTACCTGAAAGTCTCTGGGCGGCTTGCAACAATTTAAATACAATAAAAGATATAAAGATAAAACAATTAAAATACAATTAAAATATATACTCTAAAAATTGCCATCAGGACCCACCATTGATATCATTTCAATCAAGAGCCTTCTGAAACAGGAAGGTTTTGACATGGTGCTGAAATGTCATCAACGAATCTCAATTGGGAGGGCGTTCCATAGTCTGGGGGCAGCTGCCGAAAAGGCCCTTTGTCTACAAGCTGTCCCTCTTACCTCCTTGAGGGACGGCTCTTTCAAAAGGGCCCCCTGGCTAGATCTTAACTGCCGGGTAGGCTCATATGGGAGGAGGCAGTCCTTCAGGTATCCAGGGCCCAAGCCATTTAGGGATTTATACGTCAGAAAGTTTCTTGAATTGAGAAAGTTTCTTTTAAGTGATATTAAAAATTTCATTGCTATCAAAGCCTCGTGAATCTGGATTAATGAATTGTGTTTGGAAACCCAGGACCTAAAAGTCCCTAACCCTGTGCAAGGAAATGGATGCGTTCAGCACTACAAAGGGACACCCACAATTCTGCATCAAGACAAATTGAATTCAGCAAGCTGTCTAAATCCGTAGGGTTTTTCTTGCAAGTCCTAACAGCCATATCTTTTTGGGTGGTGGGTGGGTCTGGAAATGATTGACTGACATCTCACTGTTCTCCTATAACCTGGGACTCAAGACAGCTTACAAAAAGATCAACTTTAAAAGTAAGGTTTTAAAAAAATGTGGAAGTGTTTGCAGTTGAGCCACAGTACCTGTGGGGGACTGGTTCCAAGTCCTCTGCCCACGGATACCAGAAATTGAGGATATAGTGAACCATGTAGGTAGGTAGGTAGGTAGGTAGGTAGGCAGGCAGGCAGGCAGGCAGGCAGGCAGGCAGGCAGGCAGGCAGGCAGAGAGATAGATAGATAGATAGATAGATAGATAGATAGATAGATAGATAGATAGATAGATAGATAGATAGATAGATAGATAGATAGATAGATAGATAGATAGA